TGCTGCATCCCGACTCACTCTGTTTCTGCTATGCTTTGTTGCACGGCTAACAAACTTTTTCAAACCTAGAAATCCAGTATTTAACAATTATTTACTTTTTAGCAGTTTTTACCGTCTGGGGAAAAATGTGAAAACAGAATAATGGAGACTAAGAGCTGTGAACTAAATGTGCCTGTTTACAGCCTTTCCATCAATCAGCCCTCGCTGAGAAATCCAGCAAAAAGAAGAGTCTGGAGAGGCAGAGGGGCATATCATTCTGTTCCCAGTGGTATGCAGTGCTTATTTTTAAAGGGGAATGCAATACATATGCCACTGAGAACTGAAATGTGTAACAGATGTGAAGTCTGCCTGTCCTGTGGGGATAAAATTTAATTTATGTGCTAGGTTTATTCAAAGCCATGCCATCTAATGACTCATTCTTTTAAGGAAATACAGTGATGCAGCTTTAAAAGCAGCTGACTCTCTTCTGTTCATTGCTTAATGATATAGGTGGGGTAGAGGAAACACATGTCTTCTCAGAGTGTGACAGTTGTCACTGGTGTAATTTTGCACTGAGACCTTTGACCTCCACCTCTTTTTTTACATATAAGTAATTCAATCATCCTACCAGCCTCACAATGCCCAGAGCATTACCAAGTGCTCGCTGGTTCTTAAAGGTGCATTAGACTAAAATTGAATTTTTCCTGTATAAGTCCCCCCCACCCCCGGAGACATGTGAGACTGAAGCATACAGTTTGCAGTCAAGCTTTGTTCTTGTGAAACAAACCCCTTAAATATTCTCAGACTTTGCTAACAGAAAAAAATTGTGCTGATTTGACTAAATTGGTTTGAGGCCTGACTTTGTGAAATCAATGAAATTCCCATAGCTGGATATTCCTATTTCAGTTTAAGAATGGTATATTGGTTTGATTTATACCAAATGGTAAATATGCTACCATTTACTACTCAAGCTAAGCTGTTATAAGGTATGTATAAGCTGAAATAAGAGCAGCCACAGAAGAGGCAGGCACTAATTTAACTAAATCAATATAGTTAAATGGTACTAGTTTTGCATATCATAAAGACCCAAGATTGCTGGGTTTTCCTCTGACAGTCAAAAACATTTTAGGTATGTGCCCTGCTGCGACAGAAGTAGCTCAGTGTGTCTGGCCTCAACAGCGGTTTTACGGCCTTTCCATAGCTTCAGACAAAGATGCTGATGAAGGAAGCTTGAGGGGTGTTTTCTTGTGGAGCTCCAAAAGTGCCTGGATGCAAATCTAGACATATTCCTCTCAGCACCCTGGTACACACACCACACACTGTGGCCAGGTACAGACATTACACTATTATCGGTATGATCAGAAACCAGGCTATACCCATAACAGAAAAGAAATTCAGCGCACTGTTCAGCACACTGGTTTAAAAATGGTGGAAGCTGGTTTAAGATTTGCCTCCTCCCACTAAGGCGACTGCATGTTCTGTGATCTGAACTATTCTGCTTACAGAAAACTGTATAACTTAGATCGATTCTGCCCCGACGTTTTTGAATGTCTGTACCTAGCCATAGAGACTGTACACTATGTCCACCCACAAATACACACAGTGATATCCTGGGGAACAGATCACAAGACCTTAATCTCCAAAACACAGTCATCTACCCCTTGGGCTAAAAAAAAAAAAAATTGCTATCTGTCAACAGTATACAGTGTTTTTAGGTGAGGCATCACAAGAGAGACACGTGGGCTCACAGTCTCTTCTATCTAGAGATCTGGGGTCTAGGTTAGAGATATGGTTCAAAACGAATGCTGCTCCAGTCCCCCCTCCCCCCCCCAAAGTAATTAGTCTATACCCTTTCCCACTTCTGAAATACACAGAGCCAGCTTTAGCAAAAGGAAGGCCCTATGCAAAATCAGTGTGAAGTAGGCAGGAAAAAAGTTACATACTACTAATCACTCAAAAGTTAGTATTTCACTGAAGACTCAATATTCAGAGGCACTGTAAGAAATTACAATACATTGATTATCATTCTAAATTTTAAGACAAGAAGCAAACATTTTCACGTGCTAAGTTTTCCTACAGCATGGAGCCTGGTGTGACAAGCACCCATGGTTCCTGACAAAAGCCACCTTTGGAAGAGTGCTGGGGTAGAGGCTAAGGAAGAAGCTGAAAACGGAGCCATCTGCACTGTCCGTACGCATAGAAGATTCTCAGCCAGGACCAGATTCCAGTCCCTTTGTCACCCAATGGGAAAGGGGAAAGGCAATGTGGCCTAGAGTTCTGAATGTTCAAACAGATCTGATTTGATTCAGCAGAGCACAGTTGTTCACCCCCACACTATTAAGCAAGGTGGTTAAATGGGAAAACTAGATATTGTGATAACAGGAAAGTAAGAACAAGGGTAATAGGTTGCAAAAGAAAGTAGGAAGGAAGCTGGGATCTGTGTGAAAGAAACTTATTCCAGTATGAGCGGGTTGAGATGGCTTAAGTCTGGAGCACAGGAATTACCAGGAGGCGCTTGTTGACACAGAAGTGAATGTACAATAGGAGAGGAATGTGGGATGGAGGGCTAACAGTGAGTTTGGTGAGTTCAGGAAGCAAGGGGGAGGGGAGAAGAGAGAAAGAGAGGCTTACCCACCATGCAGATTTTTGCAAGCTTTCAGAGCTTTAGAAAAGAAAGTTAAACTAAAACCATGGCTACTGTAGGGAGGCTGATGTCATCTGTCTCTGTACATAAAAGGCTCCAGTTTTTCTTCCTTTGTGTAGCCCAAGGATGACATCATCCCACAGTCACAAGAACATACCGTTGTGCTGGAGCACTTCCCCTGCTGGGCTCTAGCCAAAGATCTCACTCCTTTCACATATGTCAGTCTTTTCCCAAAAACTCTCCTTGACCTCCTCTGAATTCTAAACCCAACTGTCTAGTCAAATACAGCCCTCTGGGAGCCAACAAATGACTGCAGTCTGTGGCCATGCAGAGGAACTCCTATTCAAACAATAAGGAGCAAGGCATACACCTCAGCAACCCAGACTGGGGCCTCCCCAGCAGATTTCAGCTGCTTTACAATGCAGCCAAAGCTGAATAGTGTGAACTGATTAGACAGACAGGGCAACTGTGGCTATTTAAGTATTTTCAAGGTCGAATCCTCTTTGATGGGATGTGGTGTAACACTTAGTCTTGTAGTGCAATATTGTAGCTAAATAGGCAGAGCAATGAAGTTGCCTCATTTCTGAAGCAGCAAGAACCTTGCACCAACACAGTCCCTGGGAGATTTTTTTTTACTAACCGGCATGCACACATGCTTATTTAATTAACAGTGTGGCAGTCTCTGCTACAGGCAGGCCACAAGGAAAAAGCACCCTGAACACATGTTATTTCATACAGAGAATGGGGATTGGAAGTGAATTTATTACTTGTGAAATGAAGCAGATACCAGCAAAGAAAACTACAGAGGTCTGGACTAAATATCCAGATCTGTAACTCTGAACCTGTATGCGTTTGAAACTGAGGACTAATTGAGGCTTGAATGTTTAAGCCTGGACCCCTGTTTAAAGAATACCTCCCCAGAATACAGGAATATCCGCTTGGCCAATCAGCAGTGAGGGGTGGGGCCACTACAAAAAGAATGCTATATTGGGTCCATGAACTCCACACTGATGAACATGTGGCACCCTGTGAAATGAGTGAGGGCAAGTGGTAGGATCAACAGCAAGTTTGTGAGCCTCTGCAGCTCAGCCAGCAGGGCTTGCTCCCTTGCATCGCAGTTTCACGTATCCCACAGCTCTGCCATTCTCTCCAGACAGGCCAGCCTCAAGAGAACGTGGCATAGCAGGTGTGAGACTCGAGCACCCCCTCCCCCTACTGGGATGTGCTCTCACTCCAGCCCAGCTCTACACTTGGGAGCCAGGGGCATACACTGAAGAGGGACCTCACCTCCCCACATCAGCATTCAGCACAGACACTAGGCATCTGGGAATCTGCTCTGGCACCATTCTGGTCAGAACTGGGCTGAGCAGAGTCAACGGGCATTGGATGCCTATGGCAATGCAGCCAGCTGCCCAGTGGGACCTACCCCTCCTTACTCAGGAGACAGACAGGTTTGCCTGTCCTGGAGGAAAAATAATGGATTCATTCCCCAAGGACTCACCAGGCTGCTCGGTTGGTCCAAAGACAGTGACAAAAGCCTCCTCCCAGTCCCACTGGCATTCTAGCAGCTACAAATGCAGTGTTCCACCTGCCAGCTCTCAAAGCTGTTATCTTGTGCTGAGGCAGCTTGGTGGGGAGGTGTGTGCAGACTAACTGCCCAACTCTGGCAGCTCAGCTGCCCCCAGGGCCTGGGCCCAGCTGCACTCACCCAGCCTGGGGTCAGGGAGCTCAGGTATGAAACAGTGCCTAGGCTCTCACTGTGCCTTCATGTGCGCTGCAGCCAAGGCTCCTCGCACAGGCACAGAAAGACCAACCTCTGGGATCCTCCACCTTCCTCCCTCCCTGGCTGGCTCCAAATCCCGCTCCTCCTGGCTGTGTAGCTCTCTACCTCTGGGCACAGACAATGGAATTGCCAGGACAAATAACTGACGTGCATTTCCACCAACAAACTGATAAAACAGAACTTTTTGCAGTCCGGTCCTCATTTAGGAATGGACAGGGGACAAAGGGCGAAAAAACAGGGTGGTCCAGTATAAAACAAGACCAATGGCCACCCTATCAATGAAGCATTACGTTTTCTCTTCAGAGAGCAAGTACATCACATGAGAAGCTTCACAAATTCACCCACAGGGCCCTGCATATGCACCTCACCTTTGTTCCAAAGGTACTGCTCAGGGGTGAGAGGTCCTTCTGTTATATTGCACACTGAGTTCATGGCCTTTTTTCAGTAAGAAATATGCTAATGGGGAAGCAAGTCAGTCTGTTAGTGTGTATACACACACGACATACTAAATCTGGATGAAGAAACCTGGCAATAGCATACTGTAGAAAAGAAGAAATCATATACTATAAGTGAGAGAAATTCTGAGTGGCTTACCATTGATATACCACAGCATCTGGAACCCACTTTTAGAGGTGATTCCATCAGAGTAAAACTCCACATGAAGACTGGTTCCTGTGGTGCTCCCTACAAGGGGAATGGTATTTCCACAAAAAGTGTTTATCAAGTTGGACTGGGTGCTGGGTCCATCATAGAGCTGCAAAAAAACAAACAAAAAAACAGTGGAGAAAAAGCAGCTTCCTCAATCTGAGAAACTGGAATAGGCTTCTAAAGAAAAGACACAGAGACACAGCACAACCGCCACCTTAAAATAGCAAAGTGCACTAAAGGAAGCACAGCTAGAGTTGGGGGAAATGTTGGCCCAAATTAAATTCAGTGACAGGTCTTTAAATATAATGGATGTCTTTTGTCATAGGAATAATCAGTGTCTTTGGAGGTTGCCAGGAAGAAAGGGAAATGGCAGACATTAATGCAATGAAATTGTAAGATATGATGAACAGCCCAGACTGTACTGAAGACCTATTTGACTAGGAAACCTAAAACAAACTCAAGCGTTGCCAACTCTTGTAATTTTAACTTAAATCACATGATATTTTGTCATGGAAGGGAGCAGGGTTCATGGCCCTGCTTCTACAGTCAAGCGATTTCATAAATTTCAGCTTTTCTTTGGAAGACAGTATGCTCTTATCCCTTCTGGTAATGGGGAAAAACCTGAACACATGAAACCAAGTGCCCTCAAGACTCAGATACCAGCAGGTAACTCCAGATTCATTATCTTTTTCACCTTATGAGTTCTGAATGCTCTGTGTAAGCAATGCTGTATATTCAAATCTCCAGGTTACACTGGGCATTTTGGTATTTTTGCCAGGAGCAGGGGAGCATACACAACCAGTGGTGAAATACTTCCTAATCCTACCCAAAAGGATTAAACTCACTAACACAAATTGCTACATTATTCTCTCACCAAAAATATACTTGGCTTATGGGTTTTAAAACTTAGAATTTAAAGTTAGGTTTCTAATTGGCTATTTAAGCAAGCACCCAAATATTTTGCTGGAAGTTGCTGGATGCTCACACCTTTTTAAAAACGTATCCCTCTTTTTGGTGCCTTAGTCTTACTGCAGACACTGAGGTTTGCAAAATGTTGGCCCAAATATTGTAGAGGATTTTGAAAACACACTGCCATCTTTCTGCATAGGTTGCACTTGTGATATCACACATCTGAGGAAAAGGCATCTGATAAAAACCTGATAACAATGAGAATGTGACATATCTTGGCCCAATTGTGCTTAGTTTCTGGCCTCGAGTGCTGTCACATTACATTTTTCATTACTACTTCTGTATTTGTTGCTATGGTTCTCAGTGTTTGGAATAAACTCCCTCGTGCTTCTTTATCACATTGCCTTGGTCTGGTATTCATCTGATCTTTTGACTCACAGAACATATCTTTCTAACATAAACCAGCAAATAATTGGCATAAGAAACCATGCCTGAACATCTTCATTGCTGAGTCTTTGGCATGTACTCTTTCAGAATTTCGTCAGAAACCTCTCTCTGTTCTGATCCTCCCCACTATAAAATTCTCCCTCTGAAGATTGCAAAGAGCTAGATGGATGATTTTTTGGAGCTAGCCAAGGTTATTTAACTTCGTTCTAATTTCAAAAGCTCTTCTCTGAATACCCCTCACTCCATCAGGTGGAGCTGTCCTACTCTGCACACTCACACATGGTAAGATGGAAAATATGGATCAACCATGCAGACTGCCATTTACTGCAAACACATAATTGTAGACTGGCAATATTTCATTAAATCTCAGCTGCTGCTGTTCAAGATGTGGGTCTTGTGGAACTGTTAGAATTTTTTAATATTGATTTAGCTCTATCTGGAGGTATAAGGGACAAGAAATCTACTCAAAGTTGATGCCTTTATACACAAAAGCATGCTGTAGTTTCCAGAAGCTACAGGCATATTGTAGGAATAGCAAAGTTAAATTCTGCACAGAAGTTCTCCGGAAACAAAAATGGTGGTCACCCTTAGCCACAAGCCTAAAGGCCTGTAAATATATGCAGTCCCAAAACTTTACAAGTGAATAAAAGGATTTAAAAACAATTGTAATTATTGTTTTAGTCAAAAATTCCCAGGTGAGGCTAGAGAAATCTGAGAATTTCTAACTTCCAAAGTAACCTCCCAATTATTGCAAAACTTTTCTTCATTTGTGTTTGGTGATAAGGCACAGAGTTTTAGTGATGGTCATCCTCACAAGATGTTTACAAGTTCAAACTGTCTACATCTTTCCAAATTGCAACTATGAGATGCAACAAGCAGGAGAAATGAAGATGAGATGTAAAATACTCCAAGTCACAATTATGACATTCTTTGAAGCAGGGCTGAAAGCTTTATACACTCCTATATGACTTCAGTCCTACAAAATTAAATGAAGACAAATCCAGTTAGATTCCTCATAAAAGTTAGACTGCTGGATTTCATTTAAAACCAATACTTCCTGCAATAGCCTCTAAGTTTTGCAAGCAACAGAAAAATCTGAAGGATTTAATGATCTGTAGCTTAAAATAAAAAATTTAAAAATCATACATTAGGCATGGTGTTGAAAAACATCTGAAAGTTATTCATTGAATCATTTGGTAGCAACACAGAAATCAAGATGAAAAATACATCTAATTGATCTTTTCTAAGTTTGATTCATCAAATGGGTGTTATTTTTATCTAAATAGACAGTTAACGTCACATATCTATGTAATTCCCCTGAAAACAAACAGTCACTTTTTCAATATACAAATAATGTTGCTACGGAAACCATTTCATGCCGTGCTGCCCCTTGGTTCTGTTTTCAGACAAGAATATTATTCACGGGAAATTCAAATGGCCTGCCAGCTGTAACTCATTGAGAGTAAGACAGGCCTGCTACAGCTAGAATTACAGACTTTTTTTTTTCTTCAAGCTGTCTTACCCGTATAATGAAAGGAACAGCTGTGCATTTTCATGAAGTATTTTGAACCAAATTTTGATTTTGGATAAGATAAGCAATTGCCACTGAAGCTTATGACAATCTCCTCAACCACAATTGGTCTCTTAATCTCTCAGACATGCTTTTTTTTAATTAAGAGATATTTTGTTTCATCATCTCTGTTATTCTCTAACTTGGAGAAAGGGCAGGGGGAGTTCTTGTCTAAACCACGTCAGGCAAAGTATTCTTGTTGCCTGTTTAAGACAATTGAACCTTGGAATGATTTATTACAGATTACTACTGAGGAAGGAAAGGGAAGTGAATGAAGCTGTTCACGCCACTGCCGCAGGGGAAGGGCCAGGGACTCTCTGCAGCTCAGGGCCCTAGGTATGTGCCTAATTTGGCTTCTTTTATGCAGCACCAGTTCTTTTGCTAGATGAGACTGAGGAAGACCCCAGCCCCAACTCAAATGGTTCAGTGCAGAAATGGTCCATCCAGACAGGCCTATTTATCAAAGGTTAAGATGGAGCTAGTTTCCCTTTATCTTCCTTGTTTTTCCCCTTTGCCAGTACCAGGGCTACAACCCCAGATAACGTGCATCTTCTGTATCAAGAGAGTTCCAGATCAACTGACTTCAGTGCACTGAAACTGCACAGAAAGCGGTGATAACTCAGAGAATCTGATCAGAAATCATTTGGTGTTTTCTAGGACAAATTTACTTACTTCAATGCCACTAGAAAATTTATGGGCAACTAATGTAGATTCTGGAGTCTTGACGTTTAGTACTTCCTGCAAAAATCTCTGATGCTCTGGACCACTGATGCCCAATGAGGGTGCTTTGGCACTCTGGGGTGCCTTAAGATCCTTTAGGGGTGCCATGGGGTGCCACATAACATTAGCACTGTTAGGAGTGCAAACATGATTCACAAGATAAACCCAATAATTTCACATATGAATCCATAGGATTAAAAATATTCTGAATTCTTTGCAACAGAAAAAATGAGGTATTATTTTGCCATATTTAAAAATGAGGGAAAACTAAGAGCTGGCATTTTCTGAAGGGTGCCCAGAATCTACAAAAGGTTAAGAACCTCTGCTCTGGACATAAGCACCACCTGTTCATTTTCGTTACACTGTTCTGCTTCCAATATACTACATATATACACCATAGCACTCTTCCAGGCTAGAGACAGACATTTAAAAAGCCTGAGTCTGAACTGATTCAATCTTTGTAGGTTAGTTGAACCTGCAAAGCTTGAAATAATTTGGAGGTGGATAGACTTCCCTTTTCATTCTAGAAATGCAGGCACATATCTGCAGTGGCTCAGGCTAGAAGCTGGGGGGTGCTAGAGCAGCCTTCCCTTGTTTCACAGTGCTGAGCTGAGGGGTGTGTGGCCAGGACCCCCCTGAGCTGCCCAGCAGGGAATGTTTATCATCCCTAACTCACTGTTTATCAACCCATTAAGAAAACAAAGCCTCTCTTCAAGCTCTTCTTAAACAGTTTTTTCCAAGGAAGGACATTAAGCTACCTGCTGATCAGCTCCAAAAAGCCTGTCTCCCTTTGTTGTCTCCCACAGTATGGACCTGTAGACAGCATGTGGTCTTCTAGCTAATGCTGAGGTGTCTGCGTAAGGCGGGGCATGGGGAAGGAATAATCCCTGTTTAGCAGGGAGAAACCAGGCAGATGCTCTGTGTCTGTAAGTCTCTGCTGGAACTCTAGCCAGGGAGCAGAAGGGACAGGCTGTGGAGCCCTGCTGTGGAGCAGAGAGCCCCGCCAGCCCAGAGATCATGCTGGGATGCTGGGGGAGTTTGGTTTACCTTAAACCAGCAAGGGATCTAGGACAGACATTGTATAAACCAGTTGGACCCAAATCATTTAAATTTGATACTATGTTCAACCAGGTTTATCTCAAATTGGTTTCAGCCATTTTCAAACTGGTTGATGTGCACTAAGCATCTGTTCTGTTATAGGTTTTTAAACCAGTTTCTGATCATTTATACCAGTTTATGTGTAATGTCTGTCCCTAGCCCCAGAGACAGGAGCATTTCCCCTCTCTGTGAAAAAGAGGGCTATTAAGTGGCATGGCTAAGACCACGAAAGGAGTCAGTGTTAAGAATGGAACTGAATGGAAAAAGGAATCTCTGTGCTGTGAAAAATATCAAGTTTTTGTCAAAAAGTCCATCCTCATTTAGGATAAAGAGAAAATGTTGAGAAAAAAAATAGGAAATGA